GACCACCAGGCTCTCCTTGTTCTCTGCAGGTGACAAGGGGGACGCTCGGCTCACGGCCCAGGACGCTCACCCGCCCCCCGTGTTGACATCCAGCCAGAAAGCCCCCCTGGAGGTGGCTGTGGGACCCGGATAAGTGACACGTCCCCCATTCCCAGCTCCCCAGAGGGGCGAGACCCACAGAGACCAAGGCTGGAAAGGAAACTAGTAGCTCGGGAGGCTGAGACAGGAGGATCACAAAGTGGAGGCCAGCCTCAGCCACTTAAGACCCTAAGCAGCTCAGTGAGACCCTGTCTCTCGATAAAATATAAAAAAAGGCTGGGGATGGGGGCTCAGGGACTCTGGGTTCAATCCCTGGCACCCAAAAGAAAACCCCAGATCTGTAGCCAATCTGCCCCAGTACCTTTGCACATGTCGCTGATGCGCTCCTTGAACACGTTGTGCCCGTGGCCGTCCACGTGCGTGCGCAGGAAGTTCTTGAAGCGGTGGTGGATCTCCAGGCGCGGGCCGGCCATGCTCACCCACTCGCGCACCGAGTGGCCCTTGAGGTCCTCCAGGTTCTCGATGCTCTCGATCATCTCCTCGTCCTCCTCGCCCTCCTCCGTGGCGCGCTCCACCTGGCGCCTCTTGCGTGCAGGGCGCTCATCGTCCTCCTCGTCGCTATCTGCGGAGGCCAGGGACAACTGCGTATGAGGCCGGTCCCTTGCGTGGCCCTGTCCCTCCCCTCCCACAGTGCACAACCTGACCTACCGTACAGCAGCCCCCTGCGCATGCGCCCCAGGCCCCGGCCAGCCTCCCGGTCTCGTTGCCGCATGACCCGCTCAGCGGCCTCCCTCTGGCTGGCGGTCAGCTCCTCCACGTCCTCGTCATCCAGGGCCAGTCCCTCGGTCTCGTAGGCGTCCAGCTCTGGGATGGCCCGGTAGTCCCTGAGAGAGTCCCCAAACAGAACCAGTCAGTGACCACCCTGGCCCCCCAAACGCACCCAAGGCGTGGAGCTGCCCCTTGAGGCTCAGAAATCCCAGCCCGCCACCTCCAGGTCGGAAAACCGCACGCCTGTCCTCCAGGCGGCTCGGGAGGCTGAGGTAGGAGGATCGCAAGTTGGAGGCCAGCCTCAGCCATTTAGCAAGGCCCTGAGCAAACTCAGACAGACCCTGTCTCAGAGGGGCACTGTGACTCATGAACTTGTCCCCCACCCCCAGACCCTGGCCCCAGCTGTTCTGAAAGGCGACAAGGCACCTGACCCAGAACTTTCCAGCACCCTCAGCGAGGTCACCAGGACAAACGGGCTCCCTGCCACCAAGCCCAGAGCCCAGAGCCCACAATGAAGGTACCTCTCCATGCCGTCTCCAATAAGCTCCTCCCCATCCTCCTCTTCCTCCATGGGCCCCTCGGTGCCCAGCAGCCCCTCAGACTCATCCTCAAAGGGAGGAAGGTCACGGCCAGGGCTAGAGGTCAGGGCATCGGTCCTCCGGGAGCTCCGCCCAGGGCTGGAGGTCAGGGGGTCATTGGCTCTCCGTCGCCGGGCAGGACTGGACGCCAGGGAAAGAGACTCGGATGATTCCTGCAAAAGAAGATGCCACCATCCAACACCCAGCTGACGTCTGAGGACGAGTTGCAACCTCAGGACCTTTGCACTTGCGGTGCCACGCTGCCGGCATGCTCTCAACTGAGCAAATATCTCAAGCGACAGTTGGGAAACAACTTGTCACAACCCCCAACGCTGCGGATCACTCCCGTTACCCTCCATTTTCTTCATGAAAAACATTCCCGTGAAGAAGTGCAGCGCCAATCATCCCAGCGGCTCGGGAGGGAGGCTGAGACAGAAGGATTGCAAACTGGAGGCCAGCCTCAGCCATCGGGTAAGGCACTAGGTGACTTAGGGAGATCCTGTCTCAATTTTTTTTTTTTTTTCAAAAAGGACTGGGGACAGGGCTTGGTGGTTACGTGCCCCCTGGGCTCGGTCCCCCGAACCAGAAAAAAAAAAAAAGTGCAGGAAGAGGTGACGGCCCGGCGCCTAACTTGTGCACGCCCCGCCAGGTATACAGATGGCGCCCAAAACGTGCGCGGAGGGGAAAATGAAAGGCGCCGGGAAGGTCGGGCTTAGGGAGGACCACGGGGACGCGGGTGTCCCCAGGCGGAATCGAGCAGCGCGGGTCCCCATCACCACGCGGGTCTTGCAAGTCAGATGGGGACAGAGGGGACCGACCTCCCCCGGTGTCCCCACCCCGGGCCGGCCGCACAGGGGCGACACGCGGCCTCCACCCGCCGTCTCGGCGCTCGCACGCCACCCCCGCGGCCCGGCCGGTGTCCCCGCGAGCCCCGCCACCGCGCGCTCACCGCCATCGCTGCGCCGCGCTCCGCTCCGCAGCTCCGGCCGCCACCAGGTTTCGCGCCAAAAGCAGCCCACGTGACCCGCCCGAGCCCGGGAAATCGCCCGGAATAACATTACGTCATGACGCAGCGTCCGTTTGCGTCAGGGGGCGGGCCAGTGGGCCGTACCGCTTGAGGCCACGCCCAGGCGGGCTGAGGCCACGCCCACGCCGCCTCCTGGAGCTCGGCGCTCGCTGCGCTTCACAGACCCGCAGCCGAGCGGGAGCTGCCTGCCGCCGCGGGGGACTTGGGGGACCGGCCCCGCCGACGGAGCGGCGTGACCTTTATCAAGGTAGGGCCATTTTATAGACGAGGCCACGGAGTCCCAGAGCCTTGGTGGAGGAGCACGGCTTCCTGTCTGAGGAGCAGACCGGCGCACTTCTGCAAAAGCTCTAAGGCTCCGCACTCTGGTTGGGTGGGAAGTTCATCTGATAGTCTAATCCGAGTCATCCTCATCCAGAGGAGCCAAGAGGCAAAAGAGGGTGTCCAGCTAGAAGGAATGGCATGTGCGAAGCTGTCCGTCTGCTCGCGGAGTGGGCGTGGAAGCCATTCCTTGGATCCGGTTAACAGGTTGTTAACCCCAGGGAGGGACATCCCCAAAGATCGCATCACAAAAGATCTGGAGGTCCTCCTAGGGAGTCTGAGCTGAGGGTACCAGGGATTGAACCCAGGGGTGCTTCACCCCTGAGCCCCGTCCCCAGCCCCTTTTTCTATTTTATTTAGAGACAGGGTCTCGCTGAGTGGCTCAGGGCCTTGCTAAATGGCTGAGGCTGGCCTCCCACTTGCGATCCTCCTGCCTCAGGCCTCCTGAGCCGCTGGGACAAGTCCCTCATTCTTCCTAAGGTTGATCTTCTACCTTCTGGAGCACCTCTCTCAAAGTCCCCCATTCACTAGTCACTTGGTCATCCAGCCTGATGAGCTCAGTGACATCCACAGGGTCAACCAGAACAAGGCTCAGAAGAATGTCACACGGTGGCTTAGCCCCTTTCAGACTAGCAAAGGGTGGTCCAGTCCCCCCAGGGCCTGGGGCAAGACCGCCTTTGCCACCTTGATCCGGTCCTGTAAATGCAAAGGATTCCTGATAGGGATAGAAGAGGGGTGTGGCCAGATGGAAGGCCACACCCCAAGTATCTGTGGCCTCCCAGAGGATCAGTCTACACTAGGAAGATGAATTCAGCCAGGCCTGCTCACCCATGAGGCACAGAAAAGTAGACAGGGTAAGAAAAGTGACTCCGAGTATGTGAGGAGAGGGATTATTCATCTTCTTGTGGTGGGGGCCAATCCCCCAACATGATGGAGGCGGTCAAGAGGGGTGCTAGGCGGGCCCATGCCTGTCATCCCAGCGGCTCGGGAGGCTGAGGCAGGAGGATTGCAAGTTGGAGGCCAGCCTCAGCCATTTAGTGAGGCCCTGAGCCACTCAGGGAGACTCTGTCTCTAAATAAAATAGAAAAGGGGGCTGGGGACGTGGCTTAGGGGTTAAGCACCCCTGGGTTCCATCCTGGGTACCCAAAATTAAAAAAAAAAAATGGTGGCGTGGATCTCTGCCATTTTTTCTCTGGTGTGGGTTGTCTTGGTGGGTCGTGGGTGAGGTTGGTGTTTGAGGACTTTCTCTTGATTTTTATCATTTAGACCAAGGAACCCTGGTGGGCCTGCTGCCAACTACTGAGCGCATCTGTTTTTTAGTGACGTCTTCAACCTTGAGGGTCAAGTGCACCCCCTTGGTCTCTGATGGCTATGCACGACCAATGGCTTTTTTTGGCTTTATTTAGCAGGGATTCAATCCAGATTGAACCCAGGGGTGCTTCACCCCTGAGCCCATCCCCAGTCCATTTTATTTTTTTATTTAGAGACCAGGGTCTCACGGAGTGGCTCAGAGCCTCACTCAGAGGCTGAGGCTGGACTCCAATTTGCAATCCTCCTGCCTCAGCCTCCTGAGTCTCTGGGATGACAGGCGTGCGCCCCCTGCGACCAGCTAAACTGCTATTTATTGAACTTTGTGGAGGTCACGCTCTGCCCTGTGTGTAGGAGATAACGACAGGGAATGAGCCCTGCCTCAGCTCTCATAGGGAAGGAGGTGACGTGGATGCCCTCAATTATTCCACAAATACAATAGAATCCACAGAAACCTACATGTGGGGTCCAAAATTCAAGAGCATAAAAATGCAGAATTGTGCATTTTGGTAGTTATAGAACCCCCCCCTGTGCTCCAGACGAAGCCTGTAGTCTTAAGACAAACAGAAAAGAAGCCAGGTGTGGTGCAGTCCCAGCAGCTTGGGAGGCTGAGGCAGGAGGATCGCAAGTTGGAGGCCAGCCTCAGCCACTGAGCGAGGCCCTGAGCAACTCAGGGAGACCCTGTCTCTAAATAAAATGCAAAACAGGGCTGGGGACGGGGCTCAGGGGTTAAGCGCCCCCGGGTTCAATCCCTGGTGTCCCCCCCCAAGTAAAATAATATTAAAAAATTGGCGTCCCAGCTTTGTGGCTTCCTAGTTGAGTGGCCTCCGTTTTCCCGCCGCGGGGCTGTTAGGAGGAGTGGCTGGGACGCTTAGGTGGCGGGCCGCGCCGGGGGAACTGCGTCGTGCAGAGGGAGGGACGTTCCTGCCCTTCCTTCCTCGGGCAGGTGACCAGAGGTCACCAGTGCTGGGCGCCTGGGGCGGTGGCACGCGAGAGGGCGGTCCCTGGAGGCTCCGCCCTGGACCGACCAAAGGCGGCCACCCTGGCTGGGGGAAGTGGCCGGCTGGCGGCGATCTGGTCGGTTGACAGCTGCTGACAGCTGCCGGCGCGATGGGGAAGCGGGTGGCCTTCTGCCCTCCAGAGCGCGGTTCCGCACCGCTTTCCGGGTGAGCCGCCCAGGGGCTATCTTTCCCCGCAGCAGCCTGGTGCTGTCTCTTTAAGAGATTCGCGGGGCGCCCCGCCTCTTAGAGATCTGATTGGTCGCCCCCGCTCGTTTCGGTAAGAGGTCTATCCCGATTGGCTACCGAGGGCCGGGGGGGCGGGCCTGAATGTTTCAAGTAGGGACTGTGGATGTTTTCGCAGTTTCGGATGGGCGAAAAACACGCTCCAGCGCTCTGGGTCGCCGCTGCTGGGAAGGGCTGCCCGGTGTCCTCGGGGCTGGCGGGCCCTGCGCGCTGGTGACGTCCCTCCCACCTCGCCCACCCCCCCTTCGCGTGGAACCGGCTTCCGAGACTCTTGCGCGACGCTCCCCGTCCCCTGCCGCCGACCCTGGCCGCTGAAGGCCGGAGTCCCCGGGCCTGAGCTGGGTCCTGGCACCCGGCGACAGTGGATGGGCGGCCCGGGCGGCCAGGCCTGAGCGCTGCCCCGGGGCTCTCAGGTGAGAAGGCGACCCTCTCCCCACCTCCTGCCACCTCCAGCCCGGCACGAAGTCCTCCCTCCTCCTGTAGGGACAGTGGCCCACCTGTCCCCAAGAAGGTCCCCCAGGAAGGTCCCCGTCCCACTCAGGGCTCAGCCTCACCAGGCAGCTTTGGGGAAGTTTGAGAGAGGCCTGGGGGGGGGAGGGTGATTTACAGGAAGAGGGCAGAGGGGACTTGGGGACCCTTGGGGACAGCGACAGGGGAGGGGTCGGGCAGGGACCTGGGCCCCCTGCGGCCTGAAGGGTCACAGCGTCCCTGTGCATAAACACGGTGGCAGCACCTGCCCCCAGAGGGGGCCTGCACTGTTTGTAAGTCAACTCTGGGTAAAGGCCAAGGGACACCTTGAAGGCCAAGGACTCTACCCCCAGGGGACCGAGGTCACAGTCGAGTGGCCAGCGATGGCAGACTGAGTGTCCCCTGACCTCTCAGCGAGCTGGGCACTGTGGGGGGACCCCCCTCTCCCCGCAGCCCCAGCTGTCAGTCACGCATGTCCTCACGTTTTATTGAGAACCTACTTTGTACCAGCTCTGCTCGGGGGGACTGGGCCATGTGGTTTCCCCCCACCTCCATTTTGGTCCTGGGGATTGAACCCAGGGGTGCTAGACCTCTGAGCCTCGTCCCCAGCCCCCTTTTTTAACTTTTTATTTAGTGACAGGGTCTCACTGAGTTGCTGAGGCTGGCCTCCAATTACTGGCGATCCTCCTGCCTCAGCCTCCCCAAGCACTCTGCCCTACTTAGGACGGCTTGGAAAGGAGGTCAGGCCCTGTAAACAAAACCCAGGTGAGCTGGCCCGGGAGACATAGTTAAGGTGGCTTTCTCAAAGGAGGTAATGACAGGGCTGAGACTCAGATGACGAGACCTGGACCTGTGGGCTGGCTAGAGGACAAGCCAGCACCTGGGCCCCTAGGTAGGAATGTCACCGGGAGCTCGCTCCTTTGTCCTTGTTCCAGATGCCAATCCATTAAGGAGGTTTTGAGAAAAATGAAAAAAAAGAAGGCTTCTTGCTTTGCTAGTTAAGGAGAGATTATCCCACCCAGAGAGGGGAAGTGATTCACCTAAGGTCACACAGCAATCAGAGCCTCCTGTCCCAGAGGCTATGATTCTGCCCATCTCCAGGGAGGGGGGACTCAGAGAAAATGAGACTAGGGCGGGGAGATCAGGGAGAAGGTCAGGGGAAAGAAGATCAGGGAGGAGAGGTTTTAGAGACAGGGTCTCGCTGAGTTGCTCAGGGCCTCGCTAAGTGGCTGAGGCTGGCCTCCACCTTGCGATCCTCCTGCCTCAGCCTCCCAAGCCTCTGGGATGACAGGCGTGGGCCACTGCGCCCAGCTGTATTTAAAATAAAATAAAATAAAATAAAAATCAGTTTTTTCAGTTATTTTAGCAGCTTTGAGACATAATGGCGATTCTGGTATGGCCCACAGCCCATAACTCCAGTGTGGTCACCAGAAGAGACACAGGTCCAATGGCCACACTCTTGTCCCTACTTGTTACCAGGGGACTCGATGTAGAAAGAGCATCTGATAAGCCCTGTTTCAGGCTCCATAGCAACAGAGGCTTTAGAAGGGACCCCCCTGGGCCCACAAAGAGACTCCTTTCTCCTTTGACCCCCCCAAGTTTCTTCCCTGGTAAGAGAAGCAGCCATTTCTTTGTGTGTTGGCTTTTGTGGACATTTTATGGGTCTGGTTTTGTTTGATCCTCAAGACACCCTTGCTAGGTGGGTGTTATTATCCCTGTGACACCCAGAGAGGGGAGGTGACTCACCTAAGGTCACACAGCAAGCATGTGGCAGAGCCAGAAGCCCAAGCCCTGTCAATCAGACAATGGTAGCTGGAGTTTTTCAGGCCTTTGGGTTTGTTGAGTCTCCACTTCCGGGTACTGACAGCAAAAGTACCAGGGCAGATTCTCATTGGTCAGGGAGATGGAGCTTCCTGATTGGCCAGGCTGAGATCACGTGCACATTCCCTGGAGTTGGGAAGGGGTGGAGTCAGGCATGTTAAATCGCGTGGTGGGGGGTTTGAAGCAGGGTAATGATGAGACCCCTTGTGGGGTGACCCTCTGCTCCGTCTACACTGCTACCTCTAATTGAGCCTGTGTCTCATCCTGAGGGTTAGAGTAGCTCCTCAGGGTCTCCCTCTCTCCACTCTTCTATGTGAGACCATTCTCCCTGGCAGCCACTGTAGGCACAAATTGGGACCTTGTCACCTCCCTTTCCGATACCCTTCTTGTCGCAGTTAGCATGAAATCACCCTGCATAGGGGCATATTGCCCCATACGATCTGGCCCTGCTAAGATTACCTCTCCAACTACCCTGGCCTACTTCCCCCCCCCCCTCACTTTTGCCAAGTGTGTCTCTATCTACCTCAGGGCCTTTGCACCTACTTTTCTTTCCTTACAATGTTGTTTATCCAGATCCCCCCCCCCCAAGGCTGCCTCCTCCCTTATTTAGATCTCTGTTCAGATGTCACCTCGTCTGGCCACCCAATCCAAAGCAATACCGCTTTATATTCTTTGGAATTTGGGCTTAGCTGTCGAAACAAAAGTCAAAATAACAAGATAATTATTTGTTGCATGACACTCTATGTAAACAGGCCAGGACATGCATGGAGAGGCACACATTCTTACTGCTTCGTTATCCTCCAATACATGATTTTTTAGCTTGTTATCGAAATACATGGTTTCTTTCTCATGGCCTAAAAATGGCTGCTCTTGCTCCCACCATCACACCCATATTCTAGCCAACGCAAAGGGACAAACCTCATTCCATTCATGCCTCCCTGAGGGGGGGGAAAAATCGGCCATGGGGCCACTCCCAGCTGCAAAGGAAGCTGGGAAAAAAGTAGTCATTGTTCTGGGAACCACAGACGAGTTAGAATGCATGGGTTCTGCTACTGAAGGAAAGGACAGACGTGGGGTCCTGCGTCCCATGGTTCTGCCCCACTCGGCTGTTTTCCTCTCTTTTTGGCATTTGCCTCTAAGAGAAATGGGGGTGGCTTTGTTATTGCTTGGGGGATCCTAAGGTAGAGGCTGAGACTAGAGGCTGGGCCTCTACCCTGAAGGCTGTTCTCTGTGTGGGAGCCCCATACGCGACTCCCCCTGGGAGCCCCTCTGGGGTCTGTGTTTCCCTGGGGGCCTGAGACCCAGAGGCCCCCCCTAAGCCTAGGGTCTTGGCTCCTCAGGGTGCTGCGGCAGGATGTCCGCCCCGGGAGGCGCCAACGGGAGCTCGGAGCCCGCGCCACCCCTGGCGCCCAACATCACCGTGCCCCACCGCTGCCTGCTGCTGCTCTATGAGGACATCGGCACCTCCAGGTGCGCCTGCGCTGTCCGGGGGGCGTGCAAGGAGGGGCTGGGGTGGGAGGACCTCGGCACCTCCAAGTGCGCCTGCGCCCTTGGCACCTCCATTTGCGCCTGCGCTGTCCAGGGGGTTGTGCAGGGAGGGGCTGGGGTGAGAGGACCTCGGCACCTCCATTTGCGCCTGCGCTGTCCAGGGGGCGTGCAGGGAGGGGCTGGGGTGGGAGGACCTTGGCACCTCCATTTGCGCCTGCGCTGTGCAGTTAGGGGCTGGGGTGGGAAGACATGAGCACCTCCAAGTGCGCCTGCGCCATCCCCGGGGATGTGTGGGGAGGGGTCTGGGTGGGAGGAGGGATGCCCCAGCGCGTCAGCCACCTGCTCTGCACCCCCCTGTCAGGGTCCGGTACTGGGACCTCCTGCTGCTCATTCCCAACGTGCTCTTCTTCATCTTCCTGCTCTGGAAACTTCCATTTGCTCGGGCCAAGATCCGCGTCACCTCCAGCCCCATTTTTATCACCTTCTACATCCTGGTGAGTTCACTCCTGTTGGTGACAGAAAACCCAACTCCCACGGCCTGGAGTCAAAAAAAAAGTAGGGGGGGGGGATTCACTCTCTCTGGAATAAAAACAAGCTTCAGGTCAGGCTGGATCCAGGAGGTGAAAGGATGTCAGCAGGGCTTCTTGACTCTGCTCTCTGCTGGCCTTAGCTCAGATATGTTCCCCCCGCCATGTGGTGGCAAAGACGGTCAAGAGCAGCTTGGGCTAATGTCGTTCCATCAGAGGGTGCCTCTGTTCTAGGGGTACCAGGGTAGGTAGGCCTGGCATGTCCTCTGGATGGTGCACCCTGAGCCAGACACCGTGATGGCACGGAAAGGGGTTCTTGGGTGCGCCACCAGATCACGTTGACTGAAGGAGGTGGACGGTCCCTAAAAGAAAATTGCAGAACTGGCAGCAGAGGGCAGGGGAAGCCGGGTAGGAAAAGGTCCATAGTAATCTCTGTCCATCTGTCCGTTTCTGGAGACTTCTTTGGAGCAGATTGGTACCAGGGACTAAACCCAGGGGTGCTTAACCCCTGAGCCCTGTCCCCAGCCCTTTTTCTATTTTATTTAGAGACAGGGTCTTGCTGAGTTGCTCAGGGCCTTGCTAAGTAGCTGAGGCTGGCCTCCAACTCTCGATCCTCCTGCCTCAGCCTCCTGAGCTGCTGGGATGACAGGTGTGCTGACCTGTGGTGACCCGCGCCCAGCTGCAAGAAGGTTCTTCTAGAGGAAGGGCACAGACCCCAGGTAGACAGAGGTGACAGGAGCCATGCCCAGGCATTTCTGCAAAACCTGTTGAGCCCAAGTCCTCTGTGGGCTCCTTTCCCCCAATTCCTCTGCGTCTCCAAATTAGAAACCACAAACAGAATAATTCCGAAGGCAAATATGTACTTAGCCCTTCCCGGATGCCAGGCATGGCTTCTGCCACATTATATTAACCCATCTGATGCCACTACCAACCAAGGACAGCAGGTGTGACTTTTACTCCTGTCTTATAGATGGGAAGACAGGCACGGCTGGTCACCGTGGTGCACACCTGTCATCCCAGCAGCTTGGGAGGCTGAGGCAGGAGGATCAGAAGTTGGAGGCCAGCCTCAACCACTTAAGGAGCCCTTCAGCAACTCAGTGAAAACCTGTCTCTCAATAAAATATAAAAACGGGCTGGGGACGGGGCTCAGTGGCTAAGCACCCCTGGGTTCAATCCCCAGGATCACAAAAAGAAAACAAAGAGGGACCGAGGTACAGTCACTTGCCTGAGGTCCTCCCCACACCCTCCCTCCCCCACCAGGTGTTCGTGGTGGCCCTGGTGGGCATCGCCCGGGCCGTGGTGTCCATGACCGTCAGCACCTCAGACCCTGCGACTGTTGCCGACAAGGTGTGACAGGGCCCGCTGGGAGGGGGGGAGGCTTGGGGGGGACCCAGTCCCTGCCTGACGCCCTGCCACTCTGTGTGCAGATCCTGTGGGAGATCACCCGCTTCTTCCTGCTGGCCATAGAGCTGAGCGTGGTCATCCTGGGTCTTGCGTTTGGTGCGTGCGATGCTGGGGCTCTGGGGCTCTTCCCTTGTCCCCTCCCTGGCTGGGACCAACCCCAACCCGGTTACCCGGGGCTGGATTCCACGGACTGACCAGCACGTCTCTTCCAGGCCACCTGGAGAGCAAGTCAAGTATCAAGCGGGTGTTGGCCATTACCATCGTGCTGTCCCTGGCCTATTCTGTCACCCAGGTAAGAGGCGGGGTGCACGGGGGACAGGAGGGCCGGGCCGATGTCAATCGGGGGAGTGTGACAGATCGATTGCCTGTTGGCCAGGAAAGTGCTGGGAGCTCCTATGTTCTGACCCAGTGGGGAGCAGGAAGGCTCAGAGCCCACCATCTTTATTTTTTGGGGGGTACCAGGGATTGAACCCAGGGGCATTCCACCTCCCCCCCCCCCAGCCCCGTCCCCAGCCCTGTTTTGCATTTTATTTAGAGACAGGGTCTCGCTGAGTGGCTAAGTGGCTGAGGCTGGGCCTCCAACTGGCGATCCTCCTGCCTCAGCCTCCCCAGCTGCTGGGATGACAGGCGAGTGCCCAGCGAGAACCTGCCATCTTAATAAGTAGAACCAGAGGAGCACACCACCTCTCAGGACAGGTCCCCAGGACTGGGCCTGTGACTGAGAGCCAGGGGAGGCCGGGGGGAGGCTTTAGCGGGTGGTGGCAGCCTCTGGAGGCTCCCCCTGCCTGCCTGCCTGCAGGGGACCCTGGAGATCCTGTACCCGGACTCCCACCTCTCCGCGGAGGACTTCAACATCTACGGGCACGGGGGCCGCCAGTTCTGGCTCGTCAGTTCCTGCTTCTTCTTCCTGGTGAGCTGGGCTGGCGGGCAGGGGGCTGGGTGCCGAGTTGGGGGACAGCCTGGGCCAGGAGGCCCACCCTCCCCCCTGTCCTCTCCGCAGGTCTACTCCCTGGTCGTGGTCCTCCCCAAGACGCCGCTGAAGGAGCGCATCTCCCTGCCCTGTGAGCAGCGGGCAGGCGACTCTGGGGACAGGGACACAGCAGGGACCGGGATGGGGGGGTATTGCTGGCCTAGAGCTGGGGGATCCTGGGCGGGAGCCCCCCCCTCCCCGGGGCGCGAAGGGTGGGGGAGGCCAGGGGCAGCCCCTCAGGACCCTCTGGTCCCCCAGCGCGGAGGAGCTTCTACGTGTACGCGGGCATCCTGGCGCTGCTCAACCTGCTGCAGGGGCTGGGGAGCGCGCTGCTGTGCGCCGACGTCATCGAGGGCCTCTGGTAGGCAGGGGCTCCGGAGGGGACAAGGTTCTGCCCTCTTGGGGAAGGGTCCTGGGGGTGGGGGGAGTGAGGGCGTGGCCTGGCGGGGGGGGGGGTGAGGGCGGGGCCTGGCCCAGGGTAGGGGCGGGGCCTGGCCCAGGGTGAGGGCGGGGCCTGGCCTAGGGGAGAGGGTGTGGTCTTGCCCAGGTGGGGGCGGGGCCTGACTCAGGGTGATGGGGAGTCTGGCCCAGGTTAGGGGCGGGGCCTGGCCCAGGGTGAGGGCGGGGCCTGGCGGGGTTGGGGGTGAAGGTGGGACCTGGCCTAGGGGAGAGGGTGTGGTCTTGCCCAGGCCGGGGCGGGGCCTGACTCAGGGTGATGGGGAGTCTGGCCCAGGTTAGGGGCGGGGCCTGGTCCAGGGTGAGGGTGGGGTCTGGCCCAGGATGAAGGCGGGGCCTGGCGGGGGTGGAGGCATGACCTGACCCAGGGTGAGGGCGGAGTCTGACAGTGAGGGAGGAGTTTGGCCCAGCGTGGGGGCGGAGTCTGACAGTCAGGGAGGAGTTTGGCCCAGCGTGGGGGCGGAGTCTGACAGTGAGGGAGGAGTTTGGCCCAGCGTGGGGGCGGAGTCTGACAGTGAGGGAGGAGTTTGGCCCAGCGTGGGGGCGGAGTCTGACAGTGAGGGAGGAGTTTGGCCCAGCGTGGGGGCGGAGTCTGACAGTGAGGGAGGAGTTTGGCCCAGCGTGGGGGCGGAGTCTGACAGTGAGGGAGGAGTTTGGCCCAGCGTGGGGGCGGAGTCTGACAGCGCGGGGGCGGGGTCTGGGCACGCCCGAGCAGCCTGTGGACCTGGAGGACGAGGACAGGGTGGCCCCGGAGCCTCAGGGCCAGTGGCACTGATGATAATTCGTCCCCATCTCCAGCTGTGTGGACGCCACCACTTTCCTCTACTTCAGCTTCTTCGCGCCGCTCATCTACGTGGCCTTCCTCCGGGGCTTCTTTGGGTGAGTCTGGCCGGTCCCGGACCTGCTCTCTGTCCAGCACCCCAAGGCTCCAGGGCCACGGGTGCCCTCACGTGGTGGACCGTGAGACTGAGCCATTTGCTTCTTGCGCATGCGCGGGGTGGTAGCCGCACTCGGATACAAGGCAAGGCTTGCCTGGTGTCTGTATGCGCATGCGCCTAGACGTGCACCCGCGCAATCTCGCGCCTACGTGCGCGTACACGCATGTAAACAGATGGAATAGGCCGTCCGTGAACGCGGACTAGTGCACTTTCCCCAGGAGAGTGGCTGGGCATGGCGCCCTGCGTTGCTGTCTTGCACTCATTCGTGAATCAAGCTTTCGCTGAGCACCTACTATGTGCTGGCATTGCTGTAGCCAGTAGACACCACAGGGCAGGATTGAAAACAAGGCTTGTGCCTGTCATGTCAGGAACTGAGGAGGCCGAGGCAGGAGGATCGCAAGTTGGAGGCCAGCCTCAGCAATTTAGGGAGGCCCTGAGCCACTTAGCAAGATTCTTGTCACAAAATTAAAAAATTTTAAAAAAGGGGCTGCAGATGGGGCTCTGTGGTTAAGCGCCCCAGTTCCAGCTCTATACCCCAGTCTGGGCGGTGACCTTCTTAGGGTGGGCTTCCATACCTGGGCCTCTCTGGACTCCCAGGGTGAGGCCCCCAATCCTCTCTCCTACCCACCAGCTCGGAGCCCAAGATCCTGTTCTCCTATAAATGCCAAGTGGACGAGACGGAGGAGCCCGACGTCCACCTGCCCCAGCCCTACGCCGTGGCCCGGCGGGAAGGCTTGGAGGCCGCGGGGACTGCTGGGGCCTCGACTGCCTCCTATTCCAGCACACAGTTCGATTCCGCTGGCGTAGCCTACCTGGACGACGTGGCGTCCATGCCCTGCCACGCGGGCAGCATCAACAGCACCGACAGCGATCGGTGGAAGGCCATCAACGCCTGAGAGCCGCCTCCCTGGACCTGCAGGGACAGACGGGACCGGGGGCCGAGGCCGGACTCCCAGGTGGAGCAGATGAAGGGTTGGGGGCGAGGCCTGCACCTCCTGCCCTCCAGCCCCCAGTTCCCTTGGTGGCCAGTGCTCCAGCTGGGGACCCCTCGTCCTTTTTCCATCCCCTCGCCCCGCTCAGCAGGCCAGACTGGTCTCCCAGGGACAGAACCTCATTGCACAGGATGGCTGCTGCCCACCTCCCCTCACTGCCCCACTCCGCAGCCACTGGTCTCCTCCGAGCGCACAGCGTGGGGGACCAGCGGTGGCGTGTATATTTTCTTGATTTATTTTTTAATAAAAAGGAAAAGAGTAGAAAGTGTTGATGTGGAAGTTTCTAGAAGGTGGAGCTGGGTTCCTCCGGGCAGCGTGAGGGGGGCTCCTCTTGGCCCAACCAAAGGACATTCAAAGATGCCAGCCACTCTGGAAGTACCTCTGTAGAGGCCTGGGGGGAGCTGGCACATTTGTCCCCTGGTGGCGGAGCAAGAGGCCCCCTTGGAGGAGCAGGGAGGGGGCAGGGCCACTTGCTTAGCCTTGGTGTGAGCCGCCAGGAGGGGAGTGACTCTGGTTCTTCTCACCGCTCTGCGTCAGCCTGGCCTTCCAGACAAGACCCACCCTCCCCTGGAGGCCAGAACTGCACCCAAAATCTGCCCAAAGACTGCGTGTCCAGAGCATTCCAGAATGTTCTACATCGGGATTCAGACCCCCCCTCCCAGGGCAGGGGGCAAACACAAGATCCTTCTGGATTTCTCAAGGTTGCAGTTTCTCCAAAGGCCTGCCCTGTGCCCGGTGCAGTGGTGCCCGCCTGTCATTCCAGCCACCGGGGAGGCTGAGGTAGGAGGATCGCAAGGTGGAGGCCAGCCTCAGCCACTTAGCAAGGCCCTAAGCAACTCAGCGAGACCCTGTCTCTAAATCAAATAGAAAAAGGGGCTGGGGATGGGGCTCTGTGGTGAAGCTCCTCTAATGTGTAATTATCAGGACTGTCATTATTAATAATCATTAATGTCATTAATAATAGTTATTATTCATAATTAGCATAATTAATTACTCCCGTGAGATGAGCGTGGGGTGTGAAACTAGCTGTTAGATTCTGAAGACAGACGAAGACCGATTTTTTTTTTGGGGGGGGGAGGTGGTGTCGTACTGGAGATTGTACCCAGGGGACGCTTACCCCCTGAGCCACCTCCCCAGGCAGGTCGCGAGGTCTGCTGGTTCTGGGGCGAGTGGGGACACGGGGACAGCAGCATCAGGAGCAGCTCCTACGGTCACCTGGGCTCCTTTACCCTCCACTTTTTAAAAAAATATATTTTTTATTTCTTCTCCTTAGCTCCCCGTGACAGCAGCAAGTATCCTGCCATGTCCCACCTACACAGGGTGTGACGTCCCATTCCTGTGGCTGGACCTGCTGTGGGGTGTCCCTGGTCGCATGTTCCTCTGTGAACATGGGAAAGTGACGTCCATTCACTCCCCTGTCTCTCCCAGTCCCCTCCCCTCCCTTCCCTTCACTCCCCTGCGTCTCATCCAATGAACGGTTATCCCCTGTCCCCATTATTGTGGGTCAGCGTCCCCATATCAGAGAGGACCCTCAGCCTTTGGTTGTTTTGGGGACTGGCTGATTTCACTGAGCATGATGGTCTCCAGCTCCATCCATTGACCAGCAAATGCCATCATTTCATCCTTCTTGATGGCTGAGTAGTATTCCACTGTGTATATGGACCACAGTTTCTTTATCCATCCCCTGTTGAAGGGCACCTAGGTTAGTTCCACAGTTTAGCTGTTGTGAGTTGAGCTTCTGTGCACACTGATGTGGCTGTGTCCCTGTCGTGTGCTGATTTTGAGTCCTTTGGGTATAAACCAAGAAGTGGGACAGCCGGGTCCCAGGGTGGCTCCATTCCTAGTTTTCTGAGGCATCTCCACCCTGCTCTCCAGAGTGGCCACACCAATCTGCAGTCCCAGCAGCCATGACTGAGTGGACCTTGTCCCCACATCCTCCACATGGATTGCTACTTGTATTCTTTTTTTTTTTTTTAAATACTTTTGGTTGTAGATGGACCCAATACCTTTATTTTGTTTATTTGATCTTTTTTAAGGTGGTGCTGGGGATCCAACCAGGGCCTGGCCCCTGCGAGGTGCACTCTGGGCGGGGGGACCCCAGGGCTGTCTGGGGTCTGGGCTGCTGGCCAGGCAATGGGTCCTGGTGACCAGGGGGCCCCTGCTGGCCACTCAAGCACCCTACGTTTTCTTTTCTCATATTTTCTGGAGACAGAGGCTCGGCCGAAGGCATCCGGCAGATCCTGATCCAACCACCCGCTGAGAAGCTTCTGGAAAGCCGGTCCAGCCAAGATCTCCTTAGGGGGCTCAGAGGCCCTGGGACACCCATTGGGTTCTGCCTGGCCAGACCGTAGTGATGTCCTGGGGGGGCACACCCCGAGGACACTGTCCTCCCAGATTTGGGGGACGTGAGCTGTTTCCCCTCTCCTCTGGCTCTGGGAACCCCTCTGCGAGAAGAACCTTCTAGAAGGTTCTAGGTCTTTCCCTCTCGCTCCGGTTCCAAATACTAACCTTTATCATCGCCCCACATTGAGGTGCCCCGGGGACTTGTGCGATATTTGGAGAATTAGCTGTCACAGTGTCCATGGGAGGAGAGGTCACACACGACCGGATTTTCTGCTCCTAAAAACAAACAAACAAACAAACAAACAAAAAACAAAACCTCAAACAACAATAAAATCACAACCACCACCCATGCACAAGCCCCCAGACCCAGTCCTGACAGGTCCTCTTGGTCTGTATGGGCCATTCTGTGACCCCTGTGGGGAGGATCTCAAGTTCAAGGCTGACCTCAGCAACTTAGCGAAATAATAATAATAATAATAATAATAATAATAATAATAATAATAATAATAATAATTATTTGGTAGTGCTGGGGATTGAACCCAGGCCCTTGAGCATATGAGGCAAGCGCTCTCCCCATTGAGCCCCATCCCCAGCCTTATTTCCTATTTTATTTAGAGACAGGGTCTCGCTGAGTTGCTTAGGGCCTCGCTAAGTGGCTGAGGCTGGCCTCCACCTTGCGATCCTCCTACCTCAGCCTCCCCTCCCCAACTGCTGGGATGACAGGCATGTGCCCCATGGCGCCCGGCATAAATAATCCAATACCCGTTTGTCCTTGGGGGAAGGGAGCTGGCAATCTTGGGTCAGGGGTGGGGAAAGATGGGCTCATGTTAGTCACAAACCTGTTTATATTTTCATGAACATTTTTTTTTGTGTGTGTGTTGGGTGTGGTTGCACACCTGTCCTCCCAGCGGCTCGGGAGGCTGAGGCAGGAGGATCGCAAGGTGGAGGCCAGCCTCAGAAACTTAGCAAGGTCCTGAGCCACTCAGCGAGACCCTGTCTCTAAATAAAATAGAAAAAGGGCTGGGGACGGGGCTCAGGGGTGAAGCACCCCTGGGTTCAATGCCTGATACCCTCCCCCCCAAAAATGTATATTTTTGCTTTATTTGCATGTCTCCTATGTGAAGGCCTGAATTAAAAATGAAGAAAAGAAAGGCATGCTTAGGTAAGCACGTTAGCAGGGATGTCCCCGGGGGCTAGGGACACACACACAAGCCACCCAGCGTGCTCCTTGCCCATGTGCAGATTTTCAGGGACCCCATTCTGAGTCTCACAGGTGGTTGGGCTTCACATGGGGCTGGGAATTGGTGCAGGGGACACGGATTGGGGGTGGGGGGAGCTGGGAACAGTGGCATTTTGGGCCTTGAATTCCCCCTGGCTGGCTGAAATGCCAATTTTCTGGTAGGCTGGCTGTGAGCGGCTGGGGAATGGCTTGTGTCAACCAACCGAGCCGCAGAGCGAAGCAATTACATAATTAAACTGTTTTTAAATTGAATTGAGAGCCCTGTGATTTCTCTGGGACGGTGGTCTCCTGGCCTTCGCCTCTGCACTGTGACGTGGATGGGAGAGGAGAGGAGCTTTTAAAGGACAGGAGGAGGGGGACCGGGCGTGGGGGTTGCACCACCTGTCATCCCAGCGGCTCTGGAGGCTGAGACAGGAGGATCGCGAGTTGGAGGCCAGCCTCAGCCAAAGTGAGGCCCCCGAGCAACTCAGGGAGTTGCTCTGAGCCCCGTCCCCAGCCCTATTTTGTATTTTATTGAGAGACAGGGTCTCCCTGAGTTGCTGAGGGCCTCGCTAAGTTGGTGAGGCTGGCCTCCAATGAGTGGTCCTCCGGCCTCAGCCTCCAGAGCCGCTGGGAAGGACAGTCCTGCTGCACTCTTTCGGGCTGGACATCTTTTAAGAGGGCTGAACTTGACAAGGGGAGGGCCTTCCTTCTTCTTTGCATGCCAGGTCCTGGGCCAGCAGGGGGTGTGACGATCCTGGTCTCCACCTTAGCTCTGCAAGGACCCAGCTGCAGGACCTGCCTGGCTTTGGGTCTGGGTGACCTTGACCGCGTCCCCCTGGGAGGGCGGTGCAGAGAAGGGAGGGGCCTCCCAAGGTCCCGGGGCATTACCTCCCGGGCGTCCCTGACGATCTGTGTCCCCACCGCGTGGGATGTAGGGCGGCTGCTGGTGTCGCTGTCTCTCACCCGGGTGCAGCCCAGGGGGGACCCAGCTCCGTGGCTCCGCGGCGGTGATCCCGGTGCAATTCTCCGTGTGGCCACTAGAGGGCGCTGCGGTATCGGGGACCGCGCACTCCTCGGCCACCAGAGCAGGGGAGGGGACACCCCGGGTCCCTGTCGGGTGCGCGCTCCGCGGCTCAGCCTCGGATGGACGTGGCGGAGCTCCGAGCTGTGCCCACCCCGCCTTGTGCACGCCCCGATCGCTTCTCCGGGCCCCAGCTCATGCCACACCCCTACAGTCCCCATGATGTCCCCTCCCCCAGACCCCGCCTTAGGGGTCCTCCCCAAGGATCCCCCCTCTGGGTGCTTCCTCTGCCGGACCCACTCCGTGTCCCATCCGTGTCAGTTCTTCCCATGCCCCTAACCTGATCTGTCAGCTCATGTCCCTTCTCAAGTCCCCAGCCATGTGTCCCACCCCCAGACTCTATTTTTTTTGGCACTGGGGATTGAACTCAGGGGTCCTCGACCCCTGAACCCCATCCTCAGCCCTATTTTGTGTTTTATTTAGAGACAGGGTCTCCCTGAGTGGCTGAGCACCTCGTTTTTGCTGAGGCTGGCCTCCACCTCGCGATCCTCCTGCCTCAGCCTCCTCGGAGGCTGGGATGCGCCCTCGCGCCCGGCCCCACCCCCAGACGTCCCTGGTAACCCCCAAACCGGTGCCGCTCTGTTCCCAACTTGCCTCCATTCCCGCACCCGGAGCCCCC